TAAAGTTACTGTGATCTTTGCATACGTTTCTACAACAATTATTGCAGACAGTTTTAATTTACGGTCATGTGCTTGCAATTAACACCAATATTATGACTAAAACGAGAAACTCCTTGCATTTACTTAACAGAGGTATTCAGAATGTTATGAAACTAATCGTGAAATATCGACTTGCCAATTCTGTAGGGCATTGAAACACAATCATTGTACTAACGGAGGGTTTAATTACTTTTGAGTATTTTATATTTATCTCGCTACCATAAGTTGTCATTATGTATCTAGCTCCATCTGTTTTTATCTTTAATGTTACGTGAGGCTTACGGTTGTATCACGTTGAAATACCGGTTCTCATGCGATCACCAAAGTTAAGCAACGTCGACCTTGGTCAGTACTTAGATAAGCATTTGGGAATACGAGGTGCTTTAAGCGTGGACGTACGTAGGTGATGGAATGGATAGCGGCTCGGAATTTGAAATCGGAGAGACGAATTCCAGTCGAGTGTGTTATATTCACTTACACGTATCTACCTTTGGGAAAGATAGGAATTCACTTCTTCTTCCCTCCCCCCAAATATGGATTAATTAGTATCAGTAAAATCATTATTATCTCCCCGAAAATTTTTATAATCTCTAAATATTTTTTGGCTTTAAATAACCTGGAAATAATCGATAATCTGTAAAAAAAAAAAAAAAAAAAAAAAAAAAAGAAATGAAATCAAACACTCATTATTCGCCAACGAGCGTTTTCACTTCGTTTTGGATGAGTGGTTAGCTTGTTAAACCACAGGCTATTGTGTTGAGTTCAATCCTTATTGTAACCGTGTGCTAAACTATTTTGAACAAATATTGATATCCACGCACGCTATGCAGTATTTAGAATGTGAAAAAAAATGACACTTTTTTTATCCTTAATTTATTTTTTCGAAGTCCCTGGTGAAAGGCAGAATCTTACGAGAGGGTGATGAAAAGTTTTCGGCCTTACGCGCTTCACCAAATCTGACTAAACTGATTTTTTAGTGGATGGAGGAAGAGTTTCTTGATCGATCCGAAAACTTTTCAACGCCTCTTCATATCTTTGTCTCTCTCCCTGTCTCTGCCTCTCACTATATATATATATATATATAAAGAATTTAAGTCAATTTCTTATATTGCACAAATCCTCCCCTTATTTCTGTTTAGGTTACTTTGACCTCAACTATTCCCTGACATTTAAGACGCATGCCCTTAAAACTGTTTTGACAACACACTGCAAAACCAATCCGGTCTGAGACCCTTCCAAGTCCTTAGTTTAAGCAGTAACATGCCGGAGTGCATTTAGGCAAAACAAGTTAGTGCCCTAGGAATGGTATTATGTGATGTTATATAGTGTATCCCCCCCTGCTCTCATCACCCGATACCCCACGCCCCCATATTGCTGCATAAGTTGAAACATTGATGCTACGATGCACTAAAGCTGTGCAGTTGGTTGGTTACTCGTATTATAGAGATTGCACGCAGAAAGAATTAAAATTGACCTTGACTAACTGACACGAACGTCATTTCCACTCTCCCTGCTATCTCGCTTCTTGCTCTCCCTGTTATCTCGCTCCTTGCTCTCCCACACTTCGTGCTTTCACTTTCCTTTTCTCTAAGTTTCTATCTATCATCCCCTCCCACACTCTCTTTCATTTTTGTTAATAGCAATTTGTTACTTTTTCCTCTTTCTTCCAATTTTCTCTTTATCGTCCTTTGTTATGCCTTTTCCCTTTTTTTTCTTCTATTTTCCTACTTATCTTTGCCTCTCTTTTCTTGCCATTTTTGCTTTCTCCGTATTTTGTTACTCTTTTCTTCTTTCTAGTTATCTGGAAGCGTTTTCCTCTCTTCTTTTCTCATCAACTTTCCCTTTGTCGTCGTTCCAGCCTTTTCTCTTTTTATAATTTTCTCTTTCTCATTATTCGTAAACCTTTTCCTTTTCTCTTTATTTTCTCCTTGTTGTTATTTTTTAACAGTTTTCCGCTTTTCTTCTCATTTTCTCTTTTTCAATATTTGTTTCTCTTTTATTCTATTATTTTTCATCGTTGTTACTTTTTTTTATATATTTTTCACCTTTTTTCTATTTATATTTATTTTCAGATTTCTACCTATTTTGGTTTTCTTGTTATTTGTTACTCATTTTCTTTATTTTCTTCTTATTTTCCTTTTTCCCTATTTTTTTTTTTCTTATATCAATTTCTACGTGATAAAAAAACTATTTTTATAAAAAAAATCTATTATTTTACTGGTAGATTTCATTTCAGTTTCCTATTTAAAACAATTATAAAAATAGCATCGAAGTCACTCCTAAAAATATATCCAGATATTTATTCTATATTAAGTTAATTATAGTTAATAGCTGAAATATTTTAAAAAAAAATTATTTAAATACTGGGTATTTTCCTGGGGTTACACCGATATTTTATTTCAAAATACACAAGTATTTCTTTTACTAGGTAAGCAGATCTTACTCTCGCTTCATATTACAAGCGTGGGGTACCAATGTTGGACAAGATTTTATTTACACAATTATTTCGACGTAAGCGACTTGTTAAGTTGTATAATTCAGCAACGATTTAATGAGCATTGCAAAGCCTATGTGAGAAGACAGAAGGGATTGCATCAGTTTTTCAAGTTGAGGAGAGTTCGCCTGCCTTCAAAATGAACAACTGAAATCCTGGGGGCGGGTGAACACTGATCCCAGGTGCCAGTTGAAAATTCTTATATCCAAAAATAGATCCTGGCAATGTTGGCAAGCATGTACGAATCTGCGTGATCTGGATACTTTTGAATGAAGTTCACTTATTCGAAAATGAGAAAAATACATTAAAAATGAAAGAGAAAGACCTTCTCGGCAGAACTTAACGAAATCTGTTGAAATTAATTCTTACTTGCTATAAGAAAATAATCAAAAGAAATTTCAGACATACACATATAAACACATGCACACTCATGCACGCACAAACACACACAAATAGAAAAAAAAACAAGCTAACATCAATAACTAGCAGACAAATGAATTAGATCAAAATTAGTATAAAACTAACGATAAATTGAAAAAAGGGGCAGTCAATTGGTGAAACCTTTGGACAAGTGGACCGAACCATCACAAAAAGGTTAATCTCCGAAACTTTAGATTTGAGGTGCCGAATATAACATCAACCAGCTATGTGTCACATTTTATTTGTATTACTCTCACACACAATATATATATGTATATATATATATATAATGTAAGTATGTATGTATTAATAAATATAGATAATATCTTACATTAATTGCACAGCTCCGAGTTTCATGACGAAGCAATTTTCAAGTGCTGGAATTATATATATATATATATATATATATATATATATATATATATGACAACAATTCATTGATATCACAGAAATGGCGAGGAGTGTTTGTTGATATCACAAAAGTATACGAAAACAAAATTGAAGATGATGAGACAAAGTGGAAAATTTATAAACGATGCATTTTGCCGAGAGCGTTTGCTTTCTTTGGCTTCCCCAGGTTAGAATAAAAGAAAGAAAAAACTGTATGTGAGGAAAATGATCGCTGAAGTTGGGACCATAAATCAAATTAAATTAGATTACCATATCACCTCCAATATCCATAAGTGTGCGTGTGTGTAATAAGATAAAATGAATCTTGAAAAACTCTAACATTCATCCTATTTCTTGTTTTTCTGAGTAGTAGAGAGTCCAGTTACAGAGCTGGATAGAGAAAAATGGCTTCATGCCTTTCTCAATAGACTTGGCCGTATCTTAGCCGAATCGATAGTTCTGCTTTCTGTGCCGATAAACGTCGTGTTACACACAATTCTGTTTTTTACATGCAAAAGATTCCCCAGAAAGTTACATTGTGTAAACTTAAGACTGCATGTCTTTTTTGCCTAAACTTTTTTTTAACATAATAGTAAACACAAATATCTTGTTTTTAATTTATTTATTTTTTTGATTCACCCCAAGCAAGTCGGGAAGCCACTAGTACGCAAAGGGTTACAGAAGATTTGGAGCGAGAGCAGATAGGAGTGATAGAGGAAAGAATGAGGAGAAGGATAGTGGATAGATCAAGACAACTGGAGATGTCGATTGACATTACATTTGAATAGTTGGAGATTATAGCTGTCAGGGAAACAGGAACAGGGGAGGGATTTCCACAGGCGGGAGGTGCGAGAAACCTTAAGTTTTTTCAATAAAATATCTTTTTAAATTTTTAACATATATATGTACGTATATATATATATATATATATATTTATATTGATTTATATTTATATTATTTTATGTTTTCATTTCATTTTTGTTATTAAATATACCACACTTTAATAACAGAAGACCTGCCAGAAATGGTGAAATATTGTAAGAGCCAGGACGCAAATGTATTGTTTATGACATTGTGATCAAGGTTTTCTCTAAACATTTTCATCTTAGTGAATTGTTTTCACTTTTAACCAGAGTAGCATTTTTATGTCAAAATTGTAGTCAGCCTCATTAAGCTGAGCAACTAATACATTTAATGTACTGCTTTGTAATTTGTCCCTTTTGTGTTCATATAATCTTTTACATAGATTTTTAATCTTTTATTTATTTATTTCTTTGAGGTTGTTCCTATATATTTATCCTTCAATTATTAGCTTATTGTTTTGTTTAATATTGACTAAGTCTTTTACCCAATGAATCAAAAACTATATTGTCCTGTCAACTATCTCCATCACTACTACAAGTGAAAAGAACTTATCCAAACTCGACATAAAATTTGTTACAACTACATCTAGAACAATAATAAAAGACTTAGTCAATACTAAATAAAAGAAATAAGCTAAAACTTGAACGGGGAATTTACTCGATCACCTGTAGTAATTGCCCCACCAAATAATAGCTAAATCGACTATATTATACATATACATAAAATATCTGTAAAATTTACCCTTTTCTCTCTGGGTTTGTTTAATTCAGAACTGCAATTTGGCTTATCACATAGATACACCAGTTCCCGTTCGATCACCGAAGTTAAGCAAGTCGAGCCTAGTCAGTACCTAGATGAGTGATCGCTTCAGAATACTTCTCTCTCAATTTATCTCTCACCTTATATTCTCTCTCTCAAAACTTCAGGTACTGTAAGCTTGGACGTGCGGGTTCGTTATATTCACATACGTATAAATACCCTTGGGAGAGATACGAATATACATCTTTCCCCGCTATGGGTTAATTAGTCAGACTTTTATTATTAAATCATTATTATCTCCAAAAAAATTCTTACGATCTAAAAATATTTTATAACTTTAAGTAACATGCAAAAGGTTGATAAGCCGTAGAAAACGAATAAAAAAAACTGCAATTTAATCAACAATTTGCTTCCTGCAAGTCTCGTGTATTTCAGCTAGTATATACAAAAAAATTCTCTTGCGAAATATCCAACTACTCTGCTTTCAAATAGTGCCAGTGGTCGGTGTTCGAGCTCAAGTAAAAATCGTAATTTCGAATACTAATGTTCTAGGTAGGCCCTCCCCTGTTAAATTACTGGCGTAATATAATCTTTCTATCCTTATAATAAGCTAATTCTTAGTAAACATCTATTGTAAGATATCAATTTTCGGATCTCTTTGTTGCACGAAAGCTAGATTACTTGGACATGCGCAGATGGAACACGGATGAAAAAAAGCGTTCAGGAGAATGGCCTCCGAGTGTGACTGAAACCGATTAGCGTACAACATGCAAACATGTGGGTTCTTATTTAATTATACAATAAAGTTGGATGCATGCCATAAAAAAATTACAGCAACTTCAAAAAGCAGCAGAAACAAAAGACAATAATAGCAAGGAATAAGCTAAATAAGGTACGTAATGGCTGGAAAGATGATCCGACTTGACAGGTGACCGAAAATGCGTAAGAGCCATATCAGTTACATACGAACGAGAGAGCTGACGACTTATACCCAGCGATGATATGGCCACTTCTGGTGTAACCCTATCTAGTGGGATGTTTTTATATCTACATCTGCATCTAAGTAATGTTTCCATGTTGGCTGCAGCATTTTTGTTACGTTCTTTTTAAAATTTGATTGCATTTTTCTTTTTTGTCGTTGCCTTCTGTATAGTCACTATATATATATATATATATATATATATATATATATATATATATATATATATATATATATGTATGTGTGTGTGTGTGTGTGATATACTGTTAATGACTGGAAAGAGGGGAGAAAAGATAACAAGCGATTTATATTGAAGAAGAAGCCGATTATTGATAACGGTGATAGCCGGGATACAGTGAAAGAAATGATTTGTGAATGAGAGAGGAAAATGCGTCAAACCTGCTTGGCCTGCTCGGGCGAAAAGAGAAGAAAAAAAAAGAATTGTCGTATTTAATAGTGGCCAAGTGATATTAAAATTTTTATTATTGTTGTTATTATGCTGGTGCCTGAAGGCTGAGCAAAATGTCGGAAAAGATATAGCCTAGACATTGTTGTCGATTCTATAGCATGAAGCATTCATTTTGATGTCCATTCCAATATGGCCGAACAAACAGGCTGCTTTACAAATGCCAGTAAAAATATAAAACTGAAACAATGAATGAAAGATGCTTCACTGAGAGCTATTCCTAAAATAAATTGAAACAGAAACAAATTAATTAGTTATATATATATATATATATATATATATATATATGAAAGTGAACATTGAAGTCAACACTCAGAGGCGAAAGACTGTTTCATGCTAGACACAATCGTCAAGCTTGACGATTATGTCTACCATGAAACAGTCTGTCGCCACTGCGTGTTGACTTCAATGTCCACTTTTATATTTACATAGGCTCTATCCCTGATATTGAGCCCTTTATCCCATAAATATAGCACATCTTAAGACTATATTTCTTCATATACATACATATATTACTATAATCGTTATTTTACTGGAGACACGTATTTGAGTAGACGCCCTGTGTATTTTGTTTGTTTGTTTTTTAAACAGCGGAAATTACACCTACCCGTCTGACCATTCGGGACAATAAAGGTGATTGGGCTCTCTGGCAGGGTTCGAAGGAAAGCAAATCTTCCTTTACGTCTCTCGAATGCACACGCCGGTAGACATAAAAATCGAGCCGTCTACTCAAACAAGGGTATACACCAAAATAGCATTTAGACTGATAAAAAGTAATGTCAGATTGAAAAAAAAATATTAATGCCTTAGAAAGAATTATATATATATATATATATATATATATTGCTGTGATCAAGTAAATGGTTAAGTAATAACAAAAACCAGGTTTGCAGATATATCGTATATTAAACAGTAAGTACACCAGAAGAGTATTACACGACTAATGAGAGAGTATCGAATGAACTAGCGCTCAAACCATTCACTGTTCCTTCTCACCTACTAAACTTATAGTAGGCGGAAGAGTCTAACATAGACTCTTAAGAGGGAGGACACAACGTGTATATATATATATATAAATGGACTCGCACCAATCAATTATTACATTTTTCGATAGCTAAAACGTTTTGTTGAGGTTAACTTACTCTAATGAAAACCAAATTCAAGATTTTCTTGAAAAAAACATTCACCTTAAAACTGACTGAACAGAATTTTACTGAAAAGGTATCAAATAGTTGCCTGTTAAGTTGCAAGAAGTCATTGAAAACAATGAATGTATAACTGAATAAAATGCATTTGTTCTTTATTATTTTTTAAGAATAACGCTGATAAACATGGAAATTACTTATGATTCAAGCTTATAACTTGAATTACATAATTCTTATATGATAACTTATATATATATAACTTGAATTATGACTGGTTATATTATATATATATATATATATATATATATATATATATATATATATATATTTGTTGTAACCTAGGGAAGATTGCTGAGTAGAATAATCACATGAAGGTTGGTAATGAATGATAATACTTAGGACAAGAACAACACATATAAGATTCACGAGCGGCGCGTAGAAGTAGTAGTCAACTGCTAGAAGTGAGTCAAGTGAATTCCACAATGAATCTCCAACTGCAGGATATCTATCAACCGTCCCACGCGGTCAGATGTGGCACAAGGCCAAATTTAATGTGGGGCTCGGCCAAAAATTCCCCGTAGACCCCGTATAAAACGGGGCCGGGTAGCTGTTTCCCGAGACGAGACTCTGCCCTTCGACATAGCCTCATCTGGGGAGCCTCTCTGCCTAGAGGCAGAGAGTTTGACCAGCACAGCTGGAGACGAATTTCCAACTGTAGACCAACATATAGTATTTACTACTGTATTTATGTCAATGGGGACAAACCCATTATCGTCCATAGGTATGCTACAACAATATTGAAGGGAACGAGATATGTTCTATGATTCTGAACCTAAATTTACCTTTGGGTATTCCGAAATGAGTACACTGTCAATACATTATCGCTGCAATAAATTACTTTCTCTTTTAATTAAAATCACATTATTTATGTTGAAACTAGGCCTATTACGATGAATGACGAGTGCTCGGTTTTGTAGAAAGATCCTTTTCTGTTTATATAATCTTTCATTTAAATCTCGACATGTTTCACCGAAGTATTTTTATGTCCCAGGAAATAAATTGGTGAAACATATAGGATTATAAATAATAAGAGTATATGAATTTGAAAGTGATCTTTTACAAAGAATGTCTTAATTGTTCATTGTAATAGGTTTGACCATAATTTAAAGACTGCAGTTTTGATTAATCGAGAAAGTAATTTGTTAAAGTGAATATATATATATATATATATATATATATATATATATATATAAAGGCATTAAAACAAGAAATTTTATATTGTAGAAGCCATGATAGATTTAAAACAAAACACACCAGTCGACCGGTTTCGTCCCTCTCATCAGAACTGTTAACGGGGAACTCATTCATGTCATCCATGACAGACTTTTTCTTTTTCCTCATAATCTTAGTTCCCCGTTAACAGTTCTGATGAGACGGGACGAAACCGGTCGACTGGTGTGTGTTTTGTTTTAAATCTATCATGGCCTACAATATAAAATTTCTTTGTTTTAATGCCTTAATACGCTTTTTGTACCGTTTCAAACATATTTAAATATATATATATATATATATATATATATATATATATATATATATATATATAAAAAAGGCTCAAACACTACTATTCGATGGTTATAATTTATTACATTGGAATCGTAATTACGATCCAATTCATCAGACCTACAAATTCAAAGAGAAATTGGAAAATATAAATCCGGGTATAAAAAACAAAATTTTAGTGAGAGTGTATGTGGGGAGTGGAAAACAAGTGTGAGAGGGAAATTATTATATTCTTACTCTGTCCTGGACATTGAGTTCTACCTGGATTCTGTCCTCTTGAAATTATATATATATATATATATATATATATATATATATATATATAGACCACTAATATTATCTATCTATCTATCTATATATATATATATATATATATATATATATATATATATAGTATAAACCTGTCTTCGACAGGGACTTTCATTATTGGGAATTTTTGCCGTTCAACTGGAGCATTTTAAGTTTAAAGTCAGTTCACACGAAAATCAATATTAGTAACAACAATTAGGTGCAACTGAGGCACATCCCCAAATGGGGGGGGGGGAAACAATTTGAACGGGGGGTGGCCCTGAAAAGGGAACTGTATAATAATAAATAACATTCTTGTAATAATTTAAATTACTTGTTTTTAACAAAGTTTTTATGAAAGATATATATCCAAGAACAGATAGTAAACAATAAAAAGTTGCTGAGAGTTATAATGGACAGGAAGTAGTGGAGAGCCATTGTCGCCAACAATTTGGACTCAAAACCACCACTGAAGAATTATCTATCAAACAAAAAGATCATCGAAATCGGAAGAAAACTGTGGAAATGCATAAACAACATCCAATCACTCACACATACATACACACACACACTGATTTTGAGAATTTTATGTATATATATATATATATATATATATATACGAACATAGGAAGTATGTTATCTAGATTTTATGCATTAAAGCGCAGTACTTGGTTGGTGG